AGCTGGAGACCCTGCCCATGAGTCTCCATTTCATCCTCACAACAACCCTGTGGGGTAGGTTAGGTAGAGAAGGGGAGATTTGGCCCGGGGTCACTCAGCCAGCAGAGTGAGAATACAAACCTGGGTCTCCCCACATCAATCTGCAACTCTGACCACTGTGCAGTGCTGCCTCTACTGATCTGTAATGTTCCAGAGGTGTTGTAATGTAATACTCAGTTTCTCAAACTAGTGTATGCCTGTCTGTTGGTCCACTTAGGAGTCTTGATCCTGGTTGTGTGGTGGGCTACTTGTGGCAAATGGTAGGGAAGCTCAGTATTTCTGTATACAGTTGTAGGGGCTTTATTGCAAGGTGGTATGGCCTGATATTATGTTCTTATTCCAGTGTGGGGTGTGTGGGGGGCAATGGAAGTTGAGTGATAGGGTCTCTCCAAGTGATTGCCAGAAGTGAGATGCGTCCTGGTCTTGTGTTTTACAGATAATCTTACCAATATTCCTTTGCATTTATATCATGCTTTCAACTTTAAAAGGATCATAATGCTGATTGTGTGAACTTAGGCAAATCACGAGAGGTAGAGCAGGAAGGGTTGCATCAGTGCTTAGTTCTTGTGGCCTTTTCTTACACGCCCAGGGAAATGCTGATCGCCACTTTGGGGCCAGGAAGCAATTTTTCTCCAGGCCAGTTTGGCCCCCAGTGATCTTGGAGGGTTTTTTTTAAATCATATTCTGGGCATGGAACAGGGGTCACTGGGGTGTGAGGGGGGTATTGGTGAATTTCCTGCATTGTGCAGGGGGTTGGACTAGATGACCCTGGAGGTACCTTCCCACTCTATGAGTCTATGATTCTATAATTCACCCAGGCTGGCTGTGGGCACACCAGCACCTTTGTCAGGCAGAAGCGCCTGAGATCCTCCCCCTCCCCTTTTCCTTCGCCCGACTTGGAGGCGAAGGGAAGGGAGAGGGGGGAAAGAATGGATCCCAGGTGCTTCTGCCTGTCAGAGGGGCTGGTGCACACTTCCGGTGATGTCAGGGGGTGTGGTATATGCTAATAAGTTATGCTAATGAGCCCCGGCAGCTCTTTTTCTACAAAATGACCCCTGGCCACCACCATTCGGCTTTTATTTTATAAGGGAGATTCCCCACTCTCCACAGGCTCCACCCTCAAAATCTCCAGCTATTTCCGAACACAGAGCTGACAACCCTAGTGTGGAGTCTCCCAGAACCAAAATAAAGACTCTTGTAGCATTTTATCCCCCTCTATAGCCGAGTTGGGGAAAATGCACACCTATTGCCTTTTGGGGTATATTTTTTCAACCCCAAGCCAAATTACCCATGTACCTAGTGGTAAAAACTGTCCCATCATTATAGGACAAAGTTTGAGACCAACAAGCAGGGCTATTTTTGGGCAGGAACGCACAGGAACGGAGTTCTAGCTGGCTCCTGAGTTGGCCATGCCCAGCAGGAACTCATTAGCATAACAGGCCACACCCAACAGCAGAAACTCATTAGGATTGGCTACATTAGGGGTGTGTGGCCTAACATGCAAAGGAGTTCCTGCTACAAAAAAAGCCCTGGGTTTTGACAACAAACAAGGCAAACAGAATAAGAAGCAAAAGGTGGGTGTGGCTGGATGACCAGACTTCTGGTAACGTGGGGTGTGTGGCCTAATGTGCTAATGAGCTGTGCTGTCAGGGGTGTGGCCTAATATGCTAATGAGTTTCTGTTGTTGGGTGTGGCCTATTATGCTAATGAGTTCTGGCTGGGCTTTTTCTACAAAAAAAGCCCTGCCAACAAGGGCCACCTGAATCCATCATTATAGGGTTACCATATTTTGAAAAGCAAAAAAGAGGACATACTTCTCAACTGACTGCTTCAAACAAGTGATCACTATGACAAATCTCCTTTGAAATACATCTACTATTTAAGCTGTGATCATTGCTACTAACTAGGAATGTTCCTAATCTTCCAATCTAAAAAGAGGACATATTCATCAGGGGTTTTTTAAGAGCCCAAAATAGGACGGACACCAAAAAAAAAAAGAGAGAATGTGTCCTCTAAAAAAAGGACATCTGGTAATGGTAACTCTTTTATACTGATTCAGTGGCAGGTTATTACATCATGGTGCAGTGGTTAAGATGCTGAACTGCAGGCTGGAAGGTCGGCAGTTCAGCAGTTCGAGACCCGAATGCCGCATGATGGAGTAAGCTCCCGTCTCTGGTTCCAGCTCCTGCCAACCTAGCAGTTCGAAAACAAGAAATTGCAAGTAGATAAATAAGTACCGCTTCGGTGGGGAGGTAACAGTGTTCCGTGCGCCTCGGCGTCTAGGCATGCCAGCCACATGACCACGGAAACGTCTTCGGACAGCTCTGGCTCTTCGGCTTTGAAACGGAGATGAGCACCGCAACCCTAGAGTCGGATTCGACCAGCTTTCAAGCAAGGGAAACCTTTACCTTTACCTACTAAAAGATCTAGAACTTGATTATAGGCTTTGACATGAGGTGGAATGTTTCTTTTGCTAGATTCTCCACTGCTTTGTTGCACATTGAATAACTCACACTAGTATGGTTCTTTTACAAAGCTATAGATTGTTTTTTTTTCTTTTTTAGAAACTTATTTAAAATGGCAAAAACTATGTTTTGGAACCTGAGCCATTAGACAACAAACATAAACTTCCATGAATTTCACAGGAAACAATCTAAAATTAAATAGTTTCTACAGCTAAGGTACTTTTGCAGTATATTTATACCTCTCATGAATATCTCCTTCTGTGGAGGGATAAATATTCTCCAGATTTTCAGGAAGGTTTGAGGTTTTTTCATGGAACAGCACTTAAAAACGATTCCCTGGGTAGTAAAGATCATGGGCTAGACATACGACAGGTGGCATCACACAGATTTCACTTCTGTTAAAAACCAGAAGCTTCCTCTTTAGATGCTCTAACATTTACAAAAATGCTATGGTTTTATCATAGAGATTCTGTAAAATGCTAGAGCATCTGCCATGTCACTTCTGATGTTTACTGGAAGTGATATAAGCACACCATACACCACCACCACCACCCCTCATTTCCTCCTGCCAGTGCTTGAGGCATAGGTGGGCAATGAGTGCAGAGGCCTCCCGCTGTGGCATTCCTATATCCCAACAGCAACATTAATAGATGACTGAGGTAGTTATTTACCCCATGGAGGAGGAGGTGTTTGCAAACAGGAAATTGCAAGTGGCAACTGGTCTATTTTGGAGAATACTTATTACTCTACACAGGGCTTTTTTGTAGAAAAAGCCCAGCAGGAACTCATTAGCATAATAGGCCATACCCAACCATAGGAACTAATTAGCATATTAGGCCACACCCCTGGCAGCAAAGCTCATTCGCATATTAGGCCACACCCCTGTGTTACCAGAAGTGTGGTCACCCAGCCACACCCACCTTTTGCTTCTTATTCTGTTTACCTTGTTTGTTGTCAACACCCAGGGCCTTATTTTGTAGCAGGAACTCCTTTGCATGTTAGGCCACACACCCCTAATTGTAGCCAATCCTAATGAGTTTCTGCTGTTGGGTGTGGCCTATTATGCTAATGAGTTCCTGCTGGGTGTGGCCAACTCGGGAGCCAGCTGGAACTCCGTTCCTGTGCGTTCCTGCCCAAAAATAGCCCTGCCTCTACAGGTGACAATGTCCTAATTGGGGGGGGGGGCTATAGCATTCTACTAATGAAGTGGAAACGGGGGAGCTCATTCACCCCTAAGTCAGAAACAGTTTTAAAGTCTAACGCTTTTATGGGTGGAACTATTTAACGTTTATTGGGAAGGTTTACAAATAGGGGACCCCCATATCTGAACTTGTGCAAGATCTTGTAAAGAGCTTTGCTTCAGTAAACAAAAAGCCCGGCTGTATCACTGACTAGGGCAGTCAACCTCCAGGGGAGCCTGGGGATCTCCCAGAATTACAACTGATCTCCAGACTGCAAAGATTAGTTCCCCTGGAGGAAATGGATGTCTTGGAAGGTGGAATCTATGGCATTATGTCTCACTGAGGTCCCTTGTCTACCCCCACACTCTCTAGGCTCCACCCTGAGATCCTCACAAATTTTCCAACTTGAAGCTGACAACCTCGACATGAATGTGACTCATAACATGGACCCTCTCCCCCGGGGGGGGGGGGGATGAGATTTCACAGTGGAGAAGTATTCCCTAAGGCAGGGCTTTCCCACATTCTCATTTTACTTGCATGTAAGTTCCTCTTTCTTGGGGGGGGAGGGGGTCTGTCCCGTTCATGTTTTGCTCCCTCTAGTGGTCAGTTCAATATCACACCAGTTTATGGTCCAGCATTAAAACCCATCGTTTAAATCTGCAGGGAGAGAAATCAAACATAAACCGGCGTGACATCGAATCGACCACTAGAGGGGGTAAAGGACATGTGGAACAGGACACACACCCCTCAAGAATCAGAAACTTACAGGCGAAGGAAATGAGATTGCAGAAAAGCCCATACAACGAATCCAGCTTTGAAGGAAAGTAGCATTTCGAATTGTTCACGGAAGCGTGTAAGAACTTCAAAACAAATGTTACTATATATTCGCAGTGTTCCATTTTTAACAGCGCCATCCTAAGCAGACTTACGCTCTTTTAAGTCTATTAAAGTCAATAGGCTTAGAAAGGTGCAACTGTGCTCGGGATGGCATTGTGTGGTTTACAAACCCCATTAGCACAAGGATTCTGTTATTCTAGCTAGCAGATGAGAGCTGTTTAATGTCTATATAGATTTTCAGAATTAAGTGGCAAAGGTCAGGAAGCAAGAACTGCATTTCACACACAACGAAGATTTCAAAATTTTATTATAACTTCTTGTACCAATACAAAGAGGTCTTCAAGATTTGGACAAGATTCCCCCCCCCCCCGGACTGTATAAAAGGCATTAAAGCAGGAAAATAATCTTGTAAAAGATTGTTTTAAGAATGCCCGTGAGACACCTTTGCTTGGGGGCTGGCAGCAAAGATGCGCGAGGCTTATGCCATGAAATGGCGGAGTTTCATATTTAACTCTTTCTCCTTAGTAAGCAAATCCATGCTGTGCCTCTTGTAAGCCTCAAACTGCATCCGGAGCTCGACGTAAGCTCGCTCGGCCCCATCCAGCCTCAGTTGCAGGTCTCGGACTCGGAGGACGCTGTCCACCGCCGCCGCCTCTGTCTCGAAGCGCTGTTCCGCGGCCAGCTTGGCCTTCTCCATCTCCTCCGCCTTCTTCTCCAGCTGCAGAATCTCCCGTTGCTTTTCCTGCAGCACTTTGCCCCTCTCCATCGCCAGGTTCAGGAGCTCTTCTTTCTCTTGCCTCAGCAGCTCCACCGTGGCCTTCAGGTCGCCATCCCTGAGTTCTTTTTCCGCTCTCTCCAGTTGCTCCGTGGCATGGCGGTGTTTTTCCTCGAGGACTTCCAGTTGTCTTCTCAGCGAGCGCACTTCCTCTGCGTGAGCGCTGGCTCGCCGATTCTGGGCTTCCAGAAGCTCCTTCTCCCTCCGCTGGGCACGCTGGCTTCCTTGCTTGTGGCTTTCTGTCAGGGCCTCCATGTCTTTGGAGAGCTGCTTGTACTGTGACGTGAGACAGTCCAGCTCTGCCTCTTTCTCCTTCAAAGGCTGGCTGAAGAGGCTGAGGTTCTCTTGGCGCAAGCGCCTGTTTTCTTCCCTCAGCTGCATGTTCTGGCGCTTGTGCTCATCCTTGAAGTGGATCATATCCTCGTGGTTGGCAGCCAGGTCCATGAAGCGGTCCTCCAACTGCTGGACACGCCGGGCCTGGCTTTCCAGTCTCAGAGTATCGGCCATCCTCAGCTCTTCCAGCTCCATGTTGAGCTGCTCCAGCGTCTTGCAGCGCAGGAGGTTGTCGTCCGCGCGCTTCTTCAGGATACAAATGAGTTGAGATTGCTCATGGATCCGGGAGCGCAGCATAGCCTTCTCCCCCTTTTCCCCGTCAGGCAAACCCGGGAGTTTGTCCAAGGACTCAAAGGGTTCTCCCATACTCCAACCGACATCTCCACCTGTCTCGTTTTGTATTGTCGGAGGAGAGGTCGTTCCCGGATTCGTATCGTCCTGCGGCATACTGAGGGCCTGCTGCTTCTCTCGATGCCTCAGACCGACGTTCTCTTACCGCCTCCGCTTTAGGTTACGGGTTTCAAACATTCTAGACGCCCAGATGACAGTTGGCGAAAACGTTCTGAGAATTCTATGATGTCACAAGCCAGGAGAGGCCGGGCTTTCTAGAACTAGTATGTTTGGGTCCGTTTGGCATCCTGTTCGAGCAGCAGTGACAAGGTGCAGAATTGCTCTTGGTAGTGAATGGGTGGGAGGCAAGGCTGGTTAGGAACGGAAGTCCCCAAATAAGCGAGTGTTCTTCCGGTTGTTTCTTTCTCAGCAGTACTTCATTCCTGCATTTCAACTGTATTTCAAGAGGGCAAGTGAATCCTAATCAGTTACTTTTGTGCTTTGAAGGAAAACAACAACATCATTTAGTTCCAGGTCTTATTTATCTACTCAGCAAAAGAGTCACATGGCTTCTCTCTTTAGATAAGTCCAGAATGGACTCTTGGCTTCATTTCTCCCCACCCAAGTTTCCTTCTCACAGCTTGGTCCATAGTGGAGTACACCGAAGCCCATAGAAACCAGCAATAGCACATTCTGACATTTTCAAGTGCATTAATAGAACAATATTCGTAATAAGAAATAATGGACTGGATCTTACGGAACTTTTCCTCTAACAGTAGCATTTTCAGCACAATAAACTCCTCTGCTAGTGCAAAGATCTTTGCACCAGAGAAAAACACATGACTTGGATCACTAGCATGACTTGACTTAGATCACTATCGGCCTGTAATCCAGTGTGGTGTGGTTGTTAGAGTGTCAGAATAGGTTCAAACTCCCACACATCCACAAAGCTTATTGCATAACCTTGGGCCACTCATTCTCTCACAGACCTAACCTACCTCAGAGGCCTGTTGAGAAGGCAACATAGAAAAGGCAAGACTCTGTGTCACACTGTGTCACAGTGTGAGCACCTTGAATTTTTAAAGAAATGTTGCCATGCAGTTGTTGTACATGCAGAAGGTCCCAGGCTCAACCCTTAGCGTCTGTGGTTAAAAGGATCAGGTGATGTGAAACACCTCTGCCTGAGACCCTGGGGAGCTGCTGCCAATAAGAGTGGCCAGCAGTGTTTCCTCTAAGCTGAGTTGGTGTGAGCCAGCTCACAGTTTTTTAGCCTCCGGCTCACACATTTATGTCTCAGCTCAGGAAGGATGGCTCCAGAGGCAACCTGATTGATGCAGCAGCCAAATTGCTCGCTCACATCTTTAATGCCCGTAACTCACAAGGTAGAATTTTTGCTCACAAGACACTACATCTTAGAGGGAACACTGGTGGCCAGTACAGATCTTGATAGATCAAGGGCCTGATTCAGCCTCGTGTGTCTGTGTTTTGGTGGAATACAAATGTAATGGTTCCCTTGTAGAGCTCTTCCCACTATTCTTCACTAGGTTTTCTGCCTTCTATTCAAATTGGAGAGCTCTGTAGGCAAATCAAAGATGAAACAACTTCACACAATGAAGATTATTATTTACAAAGTGTCATTAGGGTCCCGGGCGTTTTGCAGAGTAACATAAGGAGAAGAGAGGTCCCTGAACCAAGGGCCTTACAATCTACAGTGCTGTTTTCGTACTCTTGGGTGGGCTCTTGGCTTGTTCTCATGGCATGTTTTAATACTGGGTGTTGTTTTTATAACACCTCCCCTTCTCTCTAAGAGAAGCCATGTTGGATCAGGCCAGTGGCCCATCCAGTTCAACACTCTGTGTCACACAGTGGCCAAAAATACCAGGTGCCATCAAGAGGTCCAGCAGTGGGGCCAGAACTCCAGAAGCCCTAAGAACATAAGAACATAAGAGAAGCCAATGTTGGATCAGGCCAATGGTCCATTCAGTCCAACACTCTGTCACACAGTGGCCAAAAATACCAGGTGCCATTAGGAGGTCCAGCAGTGGGGCCAGGACTCTAGAAGCCCCCCCACTGTTGCCCCCCCAAGCACCAAGAATACAGAGCAAAACTGCCCCAGAGTGTTCCATATACCTTGTGGCTAATAGCCACTGATTGGACCTCCGCTCCATACGTTTATCCAATCCCCTCTTGAAGCTGTCTAGGCTTGTAGCTGCCACCACTTCCTGCAGCAGTGATTTCCATGTGTTAATCACTCTTTGGGTGAAGAAGTACTTCCTCTGAGCTGTTCTAAGCATACTGCTCAGCAATTTCATTGAGTGCCCATGAGTTCTTGTATTGTGACAAAGGGAGAAAAGAATATTCTCAACTGTAATGATTCCTTGTTTTATATGGGTGTGTGTCTCTTTAAAAGTTTGGTTGCATGGCTGTGTGATGGACTAGAGTGCTTGAAGAGACAAGAGTGGTGTGATTGGTGATTGACAGAGAGGGGGAGGGGTTTTAGAAAGTGTTTCTGTGTGGGTGAATGGGTATGTCCTTCAGGAGTGACAGTTAGAGGTTTGACAGTTGATGAAGACAGTTAAGGAGTTAGTTCATTCTGATTTCTGGGAGAGAAGCAGTTTTGTGTGTGCTTAAGAGTTAGTTCTATGTATTAAGAAAAGTTGAATGTATATGAAACAAGAAAGTTAAGTTAAAGAGAAAAATAAAAAGTCTGAGTGACAGGCTAAAGTGAAACAGTAAACGTACTTGGCCTTAAGGAAAAAGGGTTACAAAGTTACATGCCAAGATCCCTGACAGTGAGAGAGAAAAGTGTGTGAAATATCAAAGCAATTGTTTAGTATTTACCCATTCCTAGTTACAGTGTACTACCATATTATTTACGAATTATATCAATAAATCTACTTTTATTTACCAGTTCTGAAAGAAATATTTCCCAGGACCACATTAGTACCTCGACCGCTTTAAAAACTCGACCTACCTACCCAGTGATAGAAATATTATAGTATAAAGGTTTGGAAAGCCTTACATTTCCTGGTGGCAGCCGGATATACACAGTAAAACAAAACATAAAGAACACTTTAAAGGGAAACCAGACCTCCCCAGATAAGGGGTCGCCACATCAACCTTCTCTATCCTATACATAATTGTGTATACATCCATCCATATACTTCATGACCCCCTTGAGCTATAGTATATACATTTTCTAAATAAATATATAGATCTAAAGTTGGGCTGGGTGAGGGTAGGGAGAAGAGAGGAAGAATACGCAAGGATAATAAGTGATGAATGTGAGCCAGTGCAGTTTCAGCTTCATTCCAGTTAGGATGATGATTAAAGGGCTAAGCAAAGGGTTCCATGAAGATCTGAACTGGGCTTGAAGATGGGGAAATAGACCCTGACAGGAACAGAATGAAGAGATTTTTCTCTTTCCCCCATAACAACGACCTGATTGCGTTTATTCCTCTCTAATACTTGATAAAATTCCAAAATTATTCAGAATCTTTATTATGGGAGTAGATAACACAAGCCACTTCATTACCACAATTCATAGTGGGGGGGCGGTTTGCCAACAGACTAATTACAGTACCCATTTGTCAGTCAAAAGGTATACAGGGTCGAGTGCAAGAACACAGACCGTGCCTTTTGTGTGTCAAGACCTTTGGGAAACCAGTGTTTATGCTCCCCACCCATAGCCAGGAGATCGATTAGGATACACCGGCCACCTGACAAAAATGGAATCTAAGTCCATGCAAACTTACGGCATAATAACTGGGTTTGTCTTTAAAGTATCACCTTTTTATTTCCGCGTAATGATTAATATCACAAAGCCAAACAATGTAACGGTTACCAGCCAGACCTTGGGGAATAAACGTCCCCCAAAATTGGCAAGGGAGATTTGACATTTCCTCCCACCGAAGAGGTACCAGATCCCACCTACAGATCACCCCTGGAGTTCTCAACCGAACAGGAAGGTGTGGGGTCGTATTGGGGGAGCCTAAGAACTTATCCAGAGTGGGATAAAATAATGCCAAGAGAGCCCTCAAAATCTTTCCTTACCAGCCTTATTCTTTTTACTGTCTTGGTCTGAGACTCCTGCGGAGTTTGTTATCTCCATGGCGATAGGGAAGGAAACAGACTCCCTCAAGCCGTCTACTTGGAAAGACTCCCAAATGGAGGAGAGCCAAGCGGGAGATAATTCAGGGAGCGTGAAAACCCTGGGAGTGGCTATACGAGAACAAAGAACACGGGGTCTCAGGAGGCGTTCCTTTGCTGTTCGGGCCTGCGCTGGAATTCCCACCTCCCACCCCAAGCCTGAAAACTACTGGTTGCTGGCTCTACAGTGTCTGGCTGGCAGCTATCCAAAGGGGATTAAGGAAGGTAAGAAAGATAAGTACCTTAAAGACACACACTAAAAAAAAAAATTGATCCGGTAAAAAAAAAGTTTGCCCTCATCTGGATAAGCCCAGGCTAGCCAGATCTTGTCAGGTTTTGGAAGCTAAGAAGTGTCAGCCCTGGTTAGTGTTTGGGTGGGAGACCACCAAGGAAGTCCAGGGTTGCTACGCAGAGGAAGGCAACGGCAAAGCACCTCTGAGGTCTCTCACCTTGGAAACCCTACGGGGTGGCCGGAAGTCAGCTACAAATTGACGGCACTTTCCACAACCAAAATACAATGTTCTACCTGATACAGTAAGAAATCACGCGAGGGAGACGAGTTCAGATTATGCACTCCAGTTGGTTTCAGGCAAGCTCCTTGCATCTTTCTCCACCCCACCCTCACCCCTGCGAGATGACGCCAGTGGCCAGCCTTGCAAGGCTGTTGAAAGGATGATGACACTTAATGGTGGATAGTGAGTGAAGGCAGAATTGTTGGAGTTGGGGGGGGGGGGGGGGGGGAGGGCTTCTAGTGTCCTGGCCCCACTGCTGGACCTCCTGATGGCACCTGGTATTTTTGGCCACTGTGGGATCCAGAGTGTTGGACTGGATGGACCTTTGGCCTTATCCAACATTGGCGTCTCTTATGTTCTTATGCCTCAAGGTTCGTTCTGCTAATTTCATGTTCGTTGCCTCGATAACACTGTCTAACCATCTCATCCTTTGCCGTCCCCTTCTTCTTTGACCTTCCATTTTCCCCAGCCTCAGGGTCTTCTCCAGTGAGTGCTCCCTTCTCATTTGGTGGCCAAAGAATTTGAGCTAGCTTCAGCTTCAGTCTCTGGCCTTCCAGGGAACAGTCAGGGTTGATTTCTTTTAGGATTGACTGGTTTGATCTCCTTGCAGTCCAGGGGACTTCTCCAGGACCATAATTCAAAAGCATCTATTCTTTGGCGCTCGGCCTTACCTAAATTTGAAATATCCCTTCCTTACATGGGAACTTATCCACATGCAAACACAGAGAATAAAGCCGTTTTAAAAAATAATAGTGCTTCCTACTGTAGTACAATTTAGACACACACACCCCGGTTCTAGGATATGGAGGGGGAAAACCCTTGCCTCAATTGGCCAATTTCAGAATCAGATGTTCAAAGTGTATGGTTTATCTTTGTGGAGGTTTCAAGATCATGTAGAAGTGATAATTCCCATGAAATTATTCTACCCCCGTCCTTTCCTGCTGCATAGATCAAGGCTATTTCAGAAGCTTGAGAACTATATGCTTCTGACGAGACAGTCTGTGTTTGTTGGGCTTCCAGCTCCAGGTTGGAAAATTCCTGGAGATTTGGGGTGGAGCCTAGGGAGGGCAGGGACCTTAGCAGGGGATAATGCCACAGGACTCCACCCTCCAAAGCAGCCATTTTCTCCAGCGGAACTGATCTCTGTGGTCTGGAGATGAGTTACAATTCTGGGAGATCTCTAGACCCCACTTGGTAGTTGGCAACCCTAGATTTTGGAAAGGCAGGATGTTGCTGTGAGGACGGCTGCCATTTCTTCCTTCCCTTGTGAAAGGAATATCTGCTAGCTCAAATGGATAAGCACCTCTCCTTTCACCTGCTTAAGAAAGATTTTTTTCCAAAATGGTTCCAGAGAGGGAGAACCAGTCTTGCATAAAGGTTGAGTGCCGGACTAGGAGACTGTAATGTATCAGGACCCGGCCGCATGGTCAGCTTGGGCACCACGCAATCAAGCACAAGCGTCCAGCTTCGATATGGATCCTAGACCGAACCGATCAGAGGGCTACGCTCCGGGCTGAGAGCCTGTGGAACTCTCAGCCACTAGTTTGGACCTATTGGGAAGTGGGGGGGGGGTGTTTTGGGTGGTGTGACGGGGGATCTCCTGCCAACCTAGCAGTTCGAAAGCAAGAAATTGCAAATAGATAAATAGGTACCACTTCAGTGGGAAGGTAACAGCGTTCCATGCGCCTTGGTGTTTAGTCATGCCGGCCACATGACCACGGAAATGTCTTCGGACAGCGCTGGCTCTTCGGCTTTGAAACGGAGATGAGCACCGCAACCCTAGAGTCAGATTCGACTGGCTTTCGAGCAAGGGAACCTTTACCTTTACCTTTACCTTCACGGGGGATATAAACCGGCCTGCGAGCTGGCTAAAGTTGTCTTGTTCTACACCTAATAAAGTACGTTAGCTGAAATCACTCTCCGTCTGCGTACTTTTCAGAGACCCAGCTTCAAATTGCTACACAGCCGAGGCCTTCAGAAAAACATAATAAGAGCCCTGCTGGATCAGACCATCTGTTCCAGCATCCTGTCTCACACAGTGGCCAACCAGTTCCTCTGCAGGGCCAATAACAGTGCAGAGAGGCTGAGGCTTCCCCTGATAAGAACCTAAGAAGAGCCCTGCTGGATCAAACCAGTGGTCCATCTAGTCTTGCATCCTTTCTCATACAGTGGCCAACCAGTTCCTCTGGAGGGCCAATAACAGGGCACAGAGGGCCAGGCCTTCCCGATAAGAACCTAAGAAGGGCCTTGCTGGATCAGACCAGTGGTCCATCTAGTTCAGCATCCTGTCTCACCCAGTGGCCAACCAGTTCCTCTGGAGGGCCAACAACAGGGCCAAGAGGCTGAAGCCTTCCCCTGATGTTGCCTCGTGGCTCTAGGATTCAGAAGTGCCTCTGAATGTGGAGGTTCCCCTCAGTCACCATGGCTAGTAGCCACTGACAGACTTATTCTCCATGAATCTATCTAATCCCCTTTTAAAGCTGTTTATTCCTGTGGCCATCACTACATCCTCTGGCAGCAAATGCCACATTTTGATCACTCTCTTTGTTGTCTGTCCTGAACCTACGACCCATCAGCATCAAAAAGCTGAAACAACAAGCTGTGTGTTTTTCTACCCTCTGTGCCATCGATAGGCAGCAAGGGATTGGGGCCTATATTTGTGCCATCCTAGGGGGTGGGTCACCCATTTTTTCCTAATATAGCTAGCAATATAGACACATCAGACTGGTTTTAATCTCTCATTCCGATAATTCTCCCGGTCTCCTTCCTCTCCTCATCTTTTCAAAGGGCTTCCAACTTTGAAGACTCAAGTGTAAATAGAACAGGTCAGACTAAGAAGATCTGGGTTCAAATCCCCATTCTGCCATTAAGCTTAGCCTCGGACCATCCATTTCCTCTCTCAGCCTAGTCTGCCTCACAGGGTTGTTGTGAAAACAACACGGAGAATGGAAACTCCCAAATGTTGCCCTGAGTTTCTTGGAGGAAGGGCATAGATAGAAACTGACAGTAGGGAATCATCTTTTAGCTGTTGTGGTGTTTGGCAGGAGGTTTAATACTGTAGGTTACAAAACAAAAGAGTCTCCAAAAATTTAAGGAAACAAAAATATGGTTTTCGGAATTCAGCATGCAGTTGTTTGAGCACACATGTAGTTTTAATAGGCATTTGAGTTTAAGAACAGTATACAACAAAGTTTTGTATCTCTGATCACACACAGTTCGATATAACACATTTCCACTCCTGTTTCGGACAATTCCCGCGTCGTTCAGTTGGGGGCAGCAGAGTACGAGGAACACATAAGCACAAGTGGCAAATAATGTACCAGGAATTTTTTTAAAATCGGACTTTTAAAAATTCACCAATAATTAAACCAGAAATGCAGTTAATGGAAAGATTAGAGAATTATGTCTGAACCCAATGAGAGAGGCTCATCACTTTTGTGTGTTTGTGAGTGCATGTATATGCAGGGAGGGAATCTGGTTTCGAAGTTGTTAGTGAAAGATCGATACTATATACAACATGTACAATGTACAATCTAAAAGGTCACCTATCTTTAACTCTCTGCCAAGACAATTTTTTTAAAGAATTCGCCATTCCATATGAATCATCCAAGGTGAAAGTACCCAAGGCAGAAACTATATGGTAATAGCAGAGGTGAGGCTGCCACTGAAAATGGCAGCCCTGCGTCTCTGTCTCTTCTCTAGGGATGCTCAGTACATGACTCAGGATCATCAATACTTTTCAGTTTCTGTATCTCCGGAAGCAGCAGCCACTTAAACTAAGTGAAGGGAAATTCGTAGGGTTAACAGTGGCATCACATCAAACACTGAGCATCCCAAGATATTCAGATGAAGACGACGAGACACAGGAGTGGTTGTTTGGTAGCTTTCTATCAACTGTTCTACTGTAACATCCGATTCTTGCCTAAGACCCTCACCCCCCAAAAAACCTAAAACTTAAATCTAGTTATCACCACTTGCCTTTGTGCCCGCTATCTAGCATGCTACCACACTGCTGGGTATATCTACATATTGATCTCGGGAACAAAAGGGCGTCAGAAGCAGAGAGAGAGAGACAGCGTGAGCAGATGTAGCCTATTTAACAAAACGCCAACCTTTTCGTCTTTCCTTATTCAGTGCGGCCACACAAGAAAACTGTACATGACATTTTAAATACATTTTATATTTTATTCTTTAATTAATCTTTATTAAAGATTAAGGAGTTTTAACGTTTTAAATAGTACCTGCAAGTAGGCAGAGGTTAATGTGTATTTTTAAAAGCCTACAGCAGTAAAAAAAAAAAAACCCAAACCCACAAATAGTTTGCAAGCACAGAGGCCCTCTGTTTGATTTACGCCAGGAAGAAATTTGCTCCAAAGTCTGTGCCTGTTATCCTTTGCCCAGCTCTTCTGTACACTTCAGCCGCAGCAAGCCACGCAAACTGGACGCGAATAATCAGAGCATGGCACTACTTTGCCATTTTTGCTATCGTTAGCATCCTTAGCGGCAGGGTGTCCTCAACCCACTGGTCCGGTGAATTGATCATCCTCTCCCAAAAGCTGGTTTCGTCTAACGTGGAGTCCATCCAGTCTACTGCAGTGCCGTAGCTTTTACCTAAGGAAGTGTATTTTTTAAAGGGAGACAGAGAGATTAAATTAGCAGCTATAATGGCAGGCTACTTTGTCATATACTGTCAAGAGACCCTTGCCGGGGGGACCTCCTGCTGGTAGACCTCCTGATGGTACCAGGGTTTTGACCACTGTGTGACAGAGTGTTGGAACAGATGGGCCATTGGCCTCTTATGGCTTCTCTTATGTTCTTATGCTGGGGATCAGACTTGGGTCAGAGTTCTGGTGGACCTGCTGGTGGACCTTCCTGATGACACCTGGGTTTTGGCCACTGTGTGACACAGAGTATCGGACTGGATGGGCCACTGGCCTGGTCCAACATGGCTTCTCTTATGTTCTTATGTTAGGAATCAGACTAAGGTTAGAGTTCTGGCCCCGCTGGTGGACCTCCTGATGGCACCTGGGTTTCGGCCACTGTGTGACACAGACTGTCAGACTGGATGGGCCATTGGCTTGATCCAACATGGTTTCTCTTATGTCCTTATGTTGGGGATCAGACTAGGGTTAGAGTTCTGGCCCCGCTGATGGACCTCCTGATGGCACCTGGGTTTTGGCCACTGTGTGACACAGAGTGTTGGACTGGACGCGCCACTGGCCTGATCCAACATGGCTTCTCTTATGTTCTTATGTTAGGAATCAGACTAAAGTTAGCGTTCTGGCCCCGCTGGTGGACTTCCTGATGGCACCTGGGTTTTGGCCACTGTGTAACACACAGCGCTGGACTGGATGGGCCATTGGCCTGATCCAACATGGCTTCTCTTATGTTCAGATCCCCCTGGGTTATTGCCCTTTGGCCCCTGGCTTGGAACCCCTGAACAACTCCCAGAACTGTGGGTCCTCGAGGTTGGATGCATACAAGAATGCTAGATCTTGTAAAAATATATAAAAGTTCATTAAATTATTAAAACATTGACTACACAGCACAGTCTCTACATTTTATAGCACAAAAACAAAGAAACTAACTTTTCAGTCTAATACATTGAATACCTTGGTATTAGATGGCAAACATCCTGCAGCATAAAATCCATACAGTAGCATAAAAACGTTCTGTACTTTGCAGTCTATTGCAAACTATCATGACATTAGCATAGCTTCCTCTGGCCTCTACCCATATTATAACTGTTTACCCTCTGGCATCAGGTGGTCTCTTGGATCCAATTAGTGTTCTTAATTCCCCCCCTCCCATCTGGTTATACGACTGAGCATAGGTTATACAACTGAGCATAGGAGAGCCACTTTGGTGTAGTGGTTAAGAGCGTGGACTCTAATCTGGGAGAACTGGGTTGGATTCCCCACTCCTCCACATGCAGCTGTTGGTGTGACCATGGGTCAGTCATGAGTTCTCTCAGAGCTGTTGTCTCAAGGGCAGTTCTCAGCCCCACCTACCTCACAGGGTGTCTGCTGTGGGGAGGGGAAGGGAAAGGGATTGTAAACCGCTCTGAGACTCCTTCGGGTAGTGAAGGGCGGGGTATAAAACCAAGCTCTTCTTCTCTTCCCATGATTAACCAACTACCACATCCTTGAGTCCGGCCTTGAAAGAGATAAGGATGGTAGCTGCAGGAACACTGAGCTCATGGACACCTGCAAGCCAGACTATGCCTTCTAATATTCATGTTAATCCATGAAGGGAAAATACGGTGCTTGGCCTCACATACGCCCTATTAAACCCCAATAACTCCGGGTTCAAGCTTGAAATCTGAGCACAAAAGGATGTCATCCGCAGCTGGTTGTTTCAGAGGGTGGCTGTGCTGGTCTCCCATAGAAGTGACAATGTGTGACGATATATGAACATTCTTGCATGGGAGATATTGGGTCAAGGGAGTTTCCAAATTGTTCCCCTATATCATGAGTCATTAAGCTGGCTGTAGAAATCTACTTTTAGGGATATGCAGAATGCATACGATCTCCCTTTATCACTCCCATTTTGTCCCTTAGCACGCAATGGTTTCCCCCCCCCCCCTGCCTGAATAAAAGCACTTGTTTAAAACCCATCCTGCCTTCCTGATATTCTTGAAGGCGATACCCATGTACATAGGCCTGGGGGGGAGACTTCCACACAGCGGAGGATACCTGTTCCAAGTCCTATCCTGAGGCCGCCCACAAAGTGATTCACCAGCTTGTTGTGGTCCAGACGGTAAGTTCTACACAAGCTTCTTTCAAATCTTCAGGCTTAAAGCCATCGTAGACCATCGTGTGGTTGAACACCGGGTTGGTTGTCTTGGCCACAGCTCTCGTTTTCTGGCGGCTTTTTCTACTTGTGTCCGGGAGGATGGTACTTCAGACAAAAAGGGGGGAAACAATCATTATAAGATTCTGTAGAGACAAGGGCTTCCGTAACTAAAAATACGATGGTTACGAAGCTGTTCTTTCAACAGGGAGTTTCCACGTGGGAATCCATTTGCATGACACGACTTCCAACACCATCACAGTGATTTCTCAACTCCTTTGCTTCAACTTCTCAAAAGAGGGATTGTGGTTACAGTTGCCACAAATATTTTACACAAAGGAATGAAGCACGTCTCAGAGTAATTAAGGCCTGGTCTACATGATACTGTCTACCACTTTTCAAGTTGGTGATGCGATGTCTGGTGTGAGAACTCATCATGAATACTGACTTTGCGAATGTTAATCTGCACTGCGTGGTGTAAAGGATTTTTTTAAAAAAAACCTTTCTGATGGCAATATCCCCCCTCCCTTCCTGTCTCTCGGAGCTCCGAGAATTTGTTATCTTGTGTCAGTGCTAGTTTTCCAAAGGAAGTTGTAGACGTCAATACTTTGAAGGAAAAACATAGACAGCTAGATTTCAGTTTTCTCAGTTTCTTCCAGATGGTCTGGAATCAGAATTCAACAGCTGGATGATACCAAAAGCCTAATTTCCCTGAGTATAATACAAACACAAATGTCAATAATGTCACAGGCAAACCATCATAGAATTCTTGAGGTGGACTTCTGAGGTGGCAAGCTGGCAACTCAAATTCATCAAATGTGCATGGTATTATAAATGAACAAATATGTATCATATAAAAACAGAAATCTCCCCATGAATTCAAACATAACCTATTATAGTTTGCCGCCAAGTACACATTCCTCACGCTCATGTGCCTCCTTCACCCATACCTCAATAACTGAACACTTGCACCTTCATGACAAACCATAGTTTGTTCCCTCCAGACTCTTGCCTGGAGCAAAGAGAACAAACTGTAGTTTTTGTGTGTGGATATGACAACAATCTATGGCTAACTGTAAAAGGTTTTCATCATTGAGCTGTGCATTTGGGGGAAGGGGTGTATAAGCCCACAGACCGCCTAGACTCACTAATGTAACAATAACCCATGGCTTGTCATTTTTATCTGAAGCAAGTGTGTGTTGGAAAAGGTAGCCAGGCTGCTATTGTAACCTATCAGTTAGGCCTGCAGGGGAGCGCACAGGAGCGGAGCTCCGGCAGTAAGAAGCCCAGGGGGCGGGCACATGCAACAAGCCCCACCCCCTGCTCCCAGCAGCCCTCAGTCAGGCCACAAGGAGCAAGAAGCAGCCAGGTAAGTTGCAGAGGGCCCCCCAGCCCACCTTCAGGTACAAGCTCTCCCTCCTCTGTGGGGGCAGATCTGCGCATTCCCCCCCCCCATAGCTAGCAATCCAAAACAGTCCAGTGGAGCCTGAGCGCTGGGTGTTGCCTTCTGACACACTTCCGGTGATGTCAGGGGGTGTGGCATATGCAAATAAGTTAAGCAAATAAGTTATGCTAATGAGCTCCTGCACCTCTTTTTCTATGAAATGGCCCCTGGGCCTTAGTCACATCAAATCACTTGTTCTCACCATTTAACGAAGGAGTTGAGCTTATTGCCCCTGAGTATTGGGAGGTCACCGCATTCCTTCACCCAAATGTGGACTTCTCCAGTGGCTGAAGGTTTTTTACCTGTGAAACAGATAGAATGAATAAGCACATCTTTCCTCAAAGAATTCATATCTCGGTTCTTCGTTTGTTTCAAACAATAAAGACGACTGAAATCGTTGAAGCTCGCACGCTCGGTTCTACAGGAAATAAACATTTTTTTTTTTGGCCTTCTGGCTGGAAAGAGAGAGAGACAGACAGACAGACAGACAAATGTGCCTCTTGCATTATTACCCTTCTGAGCAGAGGAGTCAAAGTTTACTTTTCATTCGAAGTCTCGAAGGACATAAAAGGGGAAGAAGGCTTTCATTCCTCCTCAGAAGACAGAAACTCATTCCTGCTCAGAAGACAGAAACTCCTGTTTGTTACAAATGTGTGGAAACAAAGTTTGTGCCATACTGACCAGTAGCAACTTAGAGACCAACAAGATTTCCAGAGTATAAGCTTTTGAGAGCCAAAACTCCCTTCCTCAGATACTAATGAAGGGAGCTCTGACTCTTGGAAGCTTATGCCCTGAAAACTGTGTTGGACTTTAAGACGCTTCTGACTTGAATCTTGCTCCTCTACTGCAGACCAACACGGCTACCCACCTGACATGAAGAAGTGGTGACATCACATCCCAGGCAAGGCAACATGTGGGGGTCAGCGTGGTTGGGTACCCTACCAAAGCTCATGGACTGACAGAAGGCCAGGCCCCAAATGGAGATAGAATCATAGAGTCAGAATCACAGAGTTGGAAGTAGGGCTGCCAAGTGGAGGTGGGGCGGGTAAACCCCCGCTTTGGAGGCCCGGTTTCTGCCACCGCGGAATTGGGCCCCGGGGGGAACTCCGCCCCTCGAAGCGCAGCGTCACAGGAAGCATGCCCGTCGACCACGTTAGGGGCGGGGCCCGGATCGTCGGAGGGAAAACTCTATGGTTTTCCCTCCAACGATCGTGGCCACGCCCTCAACATGGTCGACGTTGCACATCGCTTCCTGTGACGTGTTGGTAGCGCATGCGCGCTTTGCGCACGCGCACATCCGGGGACAGCTCCCGGAGCCGGCCAAGGCTCCCCCACCGGTGAGTATTTTGGACTTGGGAACCCTAGTTGGAACGGACCTCCAGGGCCATCTAGTCCAACCCAAATACCTCCTCCTCCACACCCCCAGTGACTGTTGTTCCATGCCCAGAAGATGCTGGTTCAGTCTCCCATATCCCAACCGGGAGACGCACCTGGAGGCTACGGAGCAGCAGAGCCCAAGCAAATCCACTGCCCGCTCTGGGCTCTATCCCAAATGAGTCCAGAGGCCCAGCTCTGTTTTGCTTCTTTTAGACCCACTAGCATCAAGGGGGCATGAGAAAGCCACACTTCCCTGCACCTGGGGGAGAAGAAGGGTGCTGAAGGGCATACTAGACACACACGCGCACGCACACGCACACACACACCCTGGAGCCAGCCTCGTTGCTTCCCTTGGGGAATGAAAAGGACAAAGCAATGGGCACAGAGTTTCTCACGCCAACATCACACCTTCCCCTAGCTGAGCTCCACCTGCCATAGACTGCCAAGGAGTCTTTGCATCGGGCCTGCCAGGTTGTCCTTTTCGGCCCTCTGTTGTAAAGTGAACAGTGGCACTGGGGGTTGTAAATCAATCACAGCAGCCAGTCAGTCAGTCTGACAGCAGAAGCTCTTTGCAAGCAAGCAAGTAGTTTTGATAAACTGATTCCACTGAATAACCTGCGGCTTCCAGGCATCTCTTGTTATGAATTAAACAGCCACTGTCCAGTGCGAGTTCACAACAAGTTAGCAGGGTTTTTCACACACACCCAAAAAAGAAACATTTCTAGGTTTTTTACTGAAGAGATTGCTGTACGTAAGGCCCAACAGGGAAAACGAAGAGAGGGTATTAACGGAGGAGTACTTACCTCCTACAGGGTGTGGGATATACTGGAGAGCTAGCTTCATCTCTCCTCGGTTCTCCAGCTCCAGAGCAGCCAATGGAGCCTGAGAGAAACAAAACAGAAATTAAAAACCACTGCATACAGAGAGTCTCCTGTGCTATAATCCACCTTCTCTAATCCTGAAGAAATCGGATGGCGTTCCTTGTTCCTTCTCAGCCTAACCTAGAAGAGGAAGAAGAGGAAGGGATTGGATTTATACCCTGCCCTTCACTACCCAAAGGTGTCTCAGAGCGGCTTACAAACTCCTTTCCCTCCCCCTCCCCACAACAGACACCCTGTGAGGTAGGTGGGGCTGAGAGAGCTCTTGACAGAAACGGCTCTTTTTCAAGAACAGCTCTTATCAGAACCATGGCTTGCCCAAGGTCATCCAGCCAAGTGCAAGTGGAGGAGTGGGGGAATCAAACCCGGTTCTCCCAGATTAGAGTCCGCGCACTTAACCACGACACCAAACTGGCTCTCACCAAACCTACCTCAGTGGGCCATTTGGAGGATAAAAAGGGTACCCCAAAACCACAAACTGAGAACCTCCTGTGCTTCTCAGAGGAACAGAGAGGTGAAAAAGTAATAGATGTTTGTTGTATCATGTGTGTGTGTGTGTGCGTGTGTGCACATATTTTTAAATGGTGCACCAGAAAAAGATGAAATTCCACATGCCAAATTCGAAATCTTCCACACTATATAAAAATTAATCACAGTTTGCATAGCAACTGGTGTACAAAAACAGTATCTCTCCTCCCCCTGGCCAAGAATTATTAGAAAAGAGCAAGAGTCCAGTAGCACCTTAAACTGTAACAAAATTTGTGGCAGGGGATGAGCTTTTGTGAGTCACTGCTCACTTCTTCACTCATGGAAGCTCACACACTGTCACACATTTTGCTAGTCTTGAAGGTGCTACTGGACTCCGGCTCTTTTCTACTGCTACAGACAAACTAACACGGCTCCCCATCTTGATCGGTCAAGAATGATTAGTTAGCTACAAGATTCAGACTCAGGGATTCCTCTATATTCCTTTGGGAAGTGATGAAATTCCACTGTGGTGATGGGGAAAAGCAAGAGAAAGAGAGAATTTTGGCCCAAAGGCTCTGATGAGGAATCAAGCGCCATTCACTCACTCGAGGCTTAAGCGGGTACCAGATCATATGCTTGTTCTGCCGGTCATCCCAGTCCCACACGCCCAAGTCAATGTCTACTTCGCCCAAAAAACTGTTGCGTCCAAAAGTGTCGTGGTGCCACACTGAGATATTCAGCCTCTGGGATGCCAAAAGGGCCTTGTCGACTTTATACTGCAAGAAAGACAAAGTAAGGTTTAAGGACCTGATCCATGCTACAGTGCAACGTCTACTTGAACTCACATTTCAAAACACGGCTTCTCATAGAGAACCTCAAGCACTGGGGCTGCTTTAACAGACAGGAAATTAGTATGTGGGTTAGGGTTACCAAGTAACTGCCAGGAATTTTGGGTGTGGGGATATGGGGGAGGGGGCTGAAATCCACTGTGCCATTATATTACTTCCCTTGAAAAGCTGAAAGTGACACAGGGTCTCTCTAGGAATCACCAGGAACTCTACGGTAAAACCACAGATTTCCGGTGATTCCTAGAGCTCCCCACTGCCACGTCTGGGTTTTTACCACAAAAGTACATGCAATGCTGCTGGTTCTTTTAATATTTTCTCTGGCCACTGCTCAGCAGGCAAAAGGTGGGAGCTCAAAATCAAAATTCTAGAGAGGAAAACCAGATCGGCTCATTTTGCAAGATGGGTACTGTACATTACCCGCAGTATTTCATTATAGACAGGATTCAGCGTTTTCTTCTTCACCGAGGTCTTTCTTTTGCCCAGTTTGTATTTCTCTGGCAGCAGATAAATCTTCACATACCTGGAGGAAGTTTAACAACCAGTCTAGTAAGACTAGGGTGACATAAAGGACCATGGAATATCCTGCACACACAACTTACCACTCCCAGGCAGTTACGGTCTAGATTGCCCAAAGGTCCCCACAAAAGCCGGAACCATTCCTCCTGGGACAGGCATGAGCAGGTTGTTAATTTGGTCTCCTTAAGGAGGGGGGGCTCTGCCGTGGTGGGCCCACATCACCCAGACACCCGCAACTGTCATTAGGAAGACACAGACCTTGCAGCTCTACTGATAACGAATTCAATGGTTTATTGGAAGGTACTGTTGCAAAACATACTACAAAACAAAGTGTATGATAGATGAATGAATGATTTACCCTGGATACAGAAACACCCGAAGGATGTTTGGGACCTCAACAAAATATACATATATTTTTAAAAGGCAGTGCATAAGAATACGCAAATAAAACTCAAAGCTATAGAATACTTCTAAAGCCGCCCCCAGTAGAGGACACATTAGGTAATGGAGAGATGAACCATAAACCACCATGCATTGCAAGCAGGCAGATTCATGGAGGAGCGATCTATCAGTGGCTACTAGCCATAGTGAACCTCCATGTTCAGAGGCAGTAAACCTCTGAATCCCAGTGCCAGGGGGCAACATCGGGGAAGACCTCAGCCTCTCTGCCCTGTTGTTGGCCCTCCAGAGGAACTGGTTGGCCACTGTGTGAGACAGGAGGCTGGACTAGAGGGACCACTGGTCTGATCCAGCAGGGCTCTTCTTAGGTTCTTATCAGGGGAAGGCCTTGGCCTCTCTGCCCTGTTGTTGACCATCCAGAGGAACTGGTTGGCCGCTGTGTGAGGCAGGATGCTGGACTAGATGGACCGCGGGTCTGATCCAGCTGGGCTCTTCTGATGTTCTTTAGTACACTTGAAGCAAAAGGCTGAAGACATGAATGCTCGCTTAATCTACTGTTTTATTAATATCAGTAACACCTTAGAGTTTGTGTCTTCCTACTGCCATCTCCTGGTATGTCTCCCAAAGAACATTATGCTCTAGTGATGAAAATCTGCAGGTGGTCCCTGACCCCAGCCTGGTGGAACACTCTTCCAGGAGAGATCAGGACCCTGTGGGACTCATTACAGTTCCGCAGGGCCTGCAAAACAGAGTTGTTCTGCCGCGCTTATGGCTGAGGGCAGCAACAGGGTCCCTTGTAGCAAGTTTCATCTAGGGTTGGTCTCCCGCTCCTTCTCTTCTCTCTCCACCCCTTCTCATCAGACGGTTATACATTGCCCCCTCCATAGGACCTTAGACCATCTTTAGCTGGATGTATTTTATGGATCTTACTGTTTTTATTGTAATTATAATTTTTAGCATATTTATTGTATTCCTTAATGTTTTAGAATGCTGTATCGTTTTGCAAATTGACGTTACCAGCTCTTTGCCAATTCCAGGGCGAGCGGGTTATAAATCCAATAAAGTAAGTAAATAAATATCCAGCAGGGTGATATGAATCCATAGCAGTAGTGGGTCTCTTACTTAAAAGAGCACTATCACAAGTCCCTTGTCTTTTGAGTGATTGGTATTCAAGGGTGTTGACCATTTTCTTATTAGTAGAAGATATACCAACAGTGCTTGGGTACGATATCTAGGCAGATCGTAGCCCCACCTCAACACACAAAGCCTGTTCTCAGTTATCTAGTCATAGCCTAAGACTGCTTCCATATAGAGACTATGGTGTCATTGCCGTCGCACATGCAAAGGTATTTGCTGTGGCAATGAAGCATCCACACAACAGTCTTCCTTGGGCTTTCTTGTCCCAGGCCCTATAGCCACTGTTCTCCACCTCTGCATTACAGCTATTCTTTACATTTTTATTTTTTTTTACATGTGGAACTGCTAGATCGCTATGGAGTTATAGCTAGATCACTATAGCGTTATAGCGCTATAACGAGCTGTCTCCATGATCTCCTGGCTCCCTTGACATTCAAATCAAGCATGTCATTGGATTCATCACCAACAGCCTGACAACCACCCTCCACAATCTGCTATGAGAAAATAAAGGGAATTTAGGTTGCAGAAACATTTATTGTTTAACAGCACAGGCTCTCTCTCTTTAAAAAGAAAAAAGAAGCATATCTTGGTGTGGCAGAATTATAAGTGAGACGGGGCAGTTCTGTACAGCAGCCTGAATTGGCTTAGGCGTCTCTGTTTGGTTTCCACCCATAAGACTTTGCAGTAGGCTCTTCAGCCTGACGATGCCGCCTGCCCTCTGCTCTAAAAGAACTGTTTACATTTCTGAGTTCCAGCCTCGAAGCCAAAACATCTAGATATGAGGACCTGTGGCCAGAGACTTCTGGTCATAAATGGGAGGGGTCTGGGTTTCATCTGGACCATCCGATTTCTTGATTGACAGCTAATCTGGATTCTAAAGGTATTTAACGCCAATGTTTGAGATGGCAAGGGCCCTCTGCCCACACCGTGATTTAGGTCTTGCCAGAGCGGCCAGAATGCATCCCTAAATAGATAATAATTCCTAAATGAATAATAGCTGCACTATTAGTTTGTGGGTGTTGGTTTGTCTGTTCCCGTCAGTGGGATGAGTGCTGAAATTGCCACTTGCTTGAAAAATTGTGCAGTATGGTTTTCTTTCAATAAATGGTTTTAACCAGGGCTTTTTTTGTAGAAAAAGCCCAGTAGGAACTCATTAGCATAACAGGCCACACCCAACAGCAGAAACTCATTAACATATTAGGCCACACCCCTGACGGCACAGCTCATTCGCATATTAGGCTGCACCCCCATGTTACCAGAAGTGTGGTCATCCAGCCACACCCACCTTTTGCTTCTTATTCTCTTTACCTTGTTTGTTGTCAAAACCCAGGGCTTTTTTTTTGTAGCAGGAACTCCTTTGCATGTTAGGCCACACACCCCTAATGTAGCCAATCCTAATGAGTTTCTGCTGTTGGGTGTGGCCTATTATGCTAATGAGTTCCTGCTGGGTGTGGCCAACTCAGGAGCCAGCCGGAACTCCGTTCCTGTGCGTTCCTGCCCAACTTTGGAACAGGTTCCCCCCCAAAAAAACTATGGGGTTCCTGCCAGTTTCAAACCTCCCCCATTGAGCCAGGTGGGGATGGGATTCCTAGGAAAAGCTCCTGGACTCTTAATTTCCCCACCACTTGGGTACCCCTAAGTTCACTTACGGATCTGAACGGTTCTTCTTAATATCTGCCACTGCTAAGTCCCTGCACTGGGCGATGAAAACATGGAGCTCCTTCAGCTGCTCCACGTAATCGATGGCAAACTGAATATTCCCTTTCACGTCCACGTTGCCAAAGTCCCCACTGTAGACACTCATCACGCTCGTGCTTACCTGTAAAGGTCGTGAATCAAGAAACACACACTGAAAATTCTCAACTGCTTCTTGACGCTAAAAATAAGCATTTTGTTTCTTCCTTTTTTGTATAAGATGGGAAATAAATCTAAAAGTTCAGAAGATGAATCGATATGCGCAGAGCTGGAAGCAGCAAAAGAACAATTTAGAGTCCCTCTAAAGATTTCATCCAGTACTAAGATATATCTTTTTCTTAAGTTAAACAAGCAGTGTTTAAAAAACAAGCATGCGGTTAGGGAAAGTGATTAACAGTACACATGCAAAAGATGGATTTTCTTTACAGGCAGGATTTCATAGTAATATGGTGCCTGCTTCATTCTGCTAAGAAATTTTCTACCTTTTTTCCTGTGTTGGGGGGGACGACAACTACTTGGAAATTTGTGTCCAATCTTGAAATTATTCCTAACATCACAATCATCCAACGGGTATATTGTACCTCTTAACATATACCATTTATGTTACAAATGTCTTTTAATTTGTCCTCAATGGATGTTAGGAAAGAGGGCTCTTATTTCCATTTTAGAGAAGAACAAGAGGGTGACCCGCGACACTCGCGGGGAGGGGGAGGAAGCAGCAGGAGTCGGGAAGTCGGCGCTGCTCTCTCTCCCTTCCCCCCTCTAAGCTGTTAAGTCTTGTGAGCAAAGATTCTACTGTGTGAGCGTACTGGCATTAAAGTTGTGAGCGAGTGATTTGGCTACTGCAAAAATCAGTTTGCTCTGGAGCCCCATCCTTACTGAGCCCCATCCTTACTGAGTGAAGACAAAAAAGTGTGAGCCAGAGGCTAAAAACTGTGAGCTCGCTCACACTCATTCAGCTTAGAGGGAACACTGGACTGGAGTCACTCTGTATATAATAGGCAGGCCCGTAGCTAACAGTCGTGGGGGTCGCGCCGCCGGGGGTCTCCAGGAGCAACCTCAGCAGGGCGGCTCCAGCCAGTGCGCGGGGGAGGGGGCGCTCTCCCCGCTGCCGACATCTTCTCCGGCGGAACAGACTGCCGTTCTCTGGGAAGGGGGATCGGCGCTGCCCGTCCGCCTGCCAGAGGAGCTGCAGGGAGGCGCGGGGAGCGGCTCCCGCCCGGACAGGCCGCAGGAGGCGCCCCCTCCCCCGCCTGATGTCACACCCGCTCCGGCTCCCCTTGGCGGGCAGGAAATGTTTCCGCGCGAGGCAAGCTGGACGCGGGTGGACTCCGGCGGCGGCGCCCCCC